CGACAGAATAGGTAGTAGATGGTTTCATAATTAAGACTTGGAGTCTTATAGGCATGGTTTCTAGGTGATTCTCAATTCCAGCATCGTATGTGCAACGTTATTTCTCTCAATGGCTTAGGCGAGGAGGCGGTAAACTGTTTTAAACCCATAATTATTAGCGCCAATTTTATAAATATGGGTCTAGGTAGGTGACCTTGTCCTATAGGCATGATTTCTAGTAGTGGCATAACTAAGCAATGAAACAGTTTTAAGAGTCCAGCATTAACAACGTTGATCTCATGAATAATTTTAAGCGAGTGACAATATCCTATAGGCAAGATTTTTAACAATTGACAATCAGACTTGATTTTTATAACACTTTATTCCTATAGGCATGTCATCTAGGTAGGCCAACGTAATGAAAACAACAGAGGTAGTTGATTAATATATTAGAGTTCTATAGTTATGATATCTGGATGGGAAGTACACTAAAGTAATAGAAGAAATTGACCAATTGATTATTTGAAGTCCTATAGGCATGGTATCTAAGTCATCAAAAGCATATGTTATACATCCTATAGGCATGCTATTTAAACGCTCAATAGTAATATAGAAGCGAGTATGGCAAATACTTGGACTAACATGTCTGAATAGTGTACAAGTGAGGTGTGCATGATTCCTATATCCATGATTTCTATGTATGGGCAGAAATAAAGCAAGTTAAACAAAATAGCACATAAAGCACGTAGACTCTATAGGCACGTTTTCTACCCTTTCATGCAAATATTAGAATACCCCTTCTCCCTTTCATTAATCTCCCCATTTTTTGTTACTACAAATTATTACAGGCCAAAATGACATAGTATAAACCTAAATATGACTAGTTACAGGATGAAACAACTACAAGCCCAATAGAACGAACACAAGCCCAATACAGAACAACCCAGGGATGTCCCCCAGCCTTCAATGGTCTTAATCTTCGCAAAAAAGCAAACACATACATTGCTTACCATAGCAACCTGAGTTCCATGCCCTAACCTAACATGTATGGCCTAACGCTAGGCCTAACGAATAACCTTACTTACCCAAACCATGCCAAAATCAGCCATACAAGAGACATAATACTCATTAACTAAACGACTCAAACACTTAGTTTTTAGAGATGTAACTAACAACAACTCTAGCCAAGACACACAAACATAAACAGGCTAAATTGCAAGGCACACAAGGCACGTATAATGCATGTTTATGCTTATAATTCTAGAAACAAAGCTTAAGAGTGACATGATAGACTACCATAGGATAGTATACCATTCCAAATAGTTTTAAAGAATGAAGCATGATTCAGAATCAATCTAGGGAGAATTAGATGAAGGTCTAGCATAATCAGACAAGAAACAAACAAAGCACAACCGTCACATGAAAGTATCTATTATGAAAAGCCCAATGAAAGGAACAACTTAACAGAACAGACTCATGATCAAACAATTGCCTAATGGAGCAAGGAAAAACTCTAATGTAATGAACTTTGTCACAATATAAGAGACATGTCAATTTCAGAAGCAAGATAGGCTAGTATTGAACTTGGCACTGGTTGGCCATATATGAGAGGAGAGGCTAGTTATGAGGTTTACCCTAAGGTCTCAAACAATATTGAAAAGCACAGGATTGCATAAGTTAAAACATACATTAGAACTTAGATGGCATGGAGACATGCCTTAACTAACCAGTACAACATCGGGAATTTAGCAGGTTGGACAAGAATGACTTAACAAGGTCTGAAACACATGCATTGATTGATCACAAAGATACAGGATAAGGCAGGGAACACGCATTAGTTCACAAGTAGCAGGGAAAGTATGTTTAGGCTAATAACATGACCAGGAATTAACTCTAGAGAAATATTGAGTTGCACATGAACGACTCAACAAATATTAGAACATGTTCTGGGCATGACTCGACTTATCACAAGAATACAAAACCAGGCAAAGGCTAAACTCAGAATAAGCAACAGTAATAAGCATTCAAATACATACATTAAGGCAAATAAGCTTTAGAAAATAGAAGCAAGGCAATAAATAGTCAAGTTCGATTAATAGAAGGTATAAAGCCTCAAGAATAGCTTTAGAGCAGACAATATCATGTTAGTTCATAAACAAAAAATCTCAGAGACAGAGATATGTAGAGCTGGAACTCAAATGAGAAAAAAATGAAATTTCAAGAGTCATAGGGACTTACCGGTTATAGATAAATGAACAACACTCCAATGTTAATAGCAAAACAAACAGTAGAACCCATGAATCTCAGTGCGACAGAGTTCCTAAGGGTTTCGAATAAACTCCGGGCAGTGCTCACACTGAGAAAGGTCCGATAATCAAATTTCGGTGGCCTTTGATGTTAGTCAGCCAAGAGATTGAGCCTCAGAGTAGTATAAGACGAGTAAGAATAAGAGAGTAGTAGTAATTTTTAGTGATTCCAGTCTGTTAAGGGAATAAGGGAAATGGGTTTTTATAGTTGTTGAAATCGAACCTCTAAACAAGGAAACACAATAAATCAAACATAAATAAGGAAGGGAGAACATGCAGAATCGTTTAAGAACCAAATTAGAAAGAGAATCAGGCAAACCCTAGTTTGATCGGAATCAAAGATTGGCCAAAGATCTTGGTAAATCAGACCCGTATAACCTTGTAATGAGTGTATATTGACAAAATATCGTCTACATCTCGAATGATGAAGGCGATGGCACTCGATTTGGGAGATTAGTACTTGCCAAAATTAGGGCAAGTACTATGTAACACCATAGTCTTGTAAGAAAAAATGAGATAATCCATAAAAGGTAAGTAGATCGCCGAGAGAATCCTTTAGTTGATCGGATTTGGAGAAGATTGAGGAAGGCGACTGCTAGGGTTTGTGAGGAGGAAGGTTCGAGAGGTTCTTGGGTGGAGGAAATGGGGAATGGTCTTCAGGGTTAGGAGTTTGGGATATAAGGAAATGTGGGGATTTGTTGTGGGCCGTTGATCATTTGAGATCAACGGCAAGGTTCAAAGGGGAAGCGGGGCTGGTTGTTTAAACGGGTCGCGACTAGGTTCTTTAGAGAGGGTCGTTTGGTTTGGACTTTGGGGTTATTTGGCTGGCTTGGCGTGTGGGCTGATGGATTGAGTCCGAAATTAGATCTAAATTGGGCTACAAATTAAATACACGAAAAGTATAAAAATAATTTATAAGTACTTAAAAAATAAAACAAATATTATTTATATAGTAAGATGCTTAAAATAATAGTTTAACATTATAAAAATATAAAAATACTATTTGGGCGCAAATAATGTAGTAAACTTTAATTATACACATCATATAGGCTATTTCTGCAAAGTTGTGCAAATAGCTTTAAAATACAAATATAATCATATGAAAATGAGGTAAAATATTATGAAACATATATGTGGATGAAAATAATAATTTTGGCTTATTAAGTCATCACAAGATAATCTAAAGGGGTAATTAATACATATTCAAAAAATTTAAATGCAAGAAAATCATTTTTAAGGCTTTAAAAATTATGAAAAATTATAGAAAATACTTGTGTGACTCTTATAAATTAGTGGTGGTGCAGGAATGATATTTTAAAAGCATATATGACCTTTATAAAAATATGAGGGCAAAAATTGGGTATCAACAGATGCCCCTCTTTACCCGGGAATGGTGAAAGAGTTGCCGGGTAAAGAAAATGATGACCAATTTTGACTGAAGTGAGTGAGGAATGATGTATTTTGAAAAAGATTGTGGCCAAACCCTGGTTCTTGAGTTGCCTACATATCCCTAGTATTACAGGAATCAGGTCGTGTGTAGTTCTGGATCTAACGGTGAACGAAATCGATGGAGGTGTAATAAAAGTGGTTGTATTTTTCAAAAAGGATCTTTTGGATGCGATATTTTGGATCAATTTAAGACTAGAAGACTGAGAAAGAAAACATGTTTCTTGCCTTAGATCTAGTTTGAATACCATAGTCCCAAGGAGTGATTACATTTTGAAGGGGATGTGAGCTTTTGTGCTTCGAGTTAGACACCTGGGTTTCCGGATAGGAGGGACCAGGTTCCTCCATGTGTCACCCATCATTAGCATCGATGGAAGTATGAATACCACTTATTTGCTTTGCATCATGAGTGCCTAATACAACATCATCAACTCTATTGTTAGCTTCAGTTGTCGTGATGGAGGGACCAGGTTCCTCCAAATCAACTGGAAGTTCTGCTGCATCTTCTTCCCTATTCTCCTTAACTGGACTCATTAAATCTGCCTTCCCATTTGCCATATCAATAACTTCTCTAGGGACCTTTGAATAATCTCCATCTTGATCATCCTTATCATGTGAATCTTTCCCACATGAGTGGTGAGATTCATCAAATATCACGTTATACTTTCCTCTACACATTGAGTCCATTTGTTGTAGACTTTGTATGCTTTGTTTTGAGAAGAGTAGACAAGAAAGATTTCTTCATCACTTTTAGCATCGAATTTTCCCAATGCTTCCTTACCATTATTGAGAATGAAACATTTGCATCCAAATGCTCTCATATAAGTCAACTTTTGTTTTCTCCCATTAAGCAATTCATACGTGGTCTTGTCAAGAAGGGACCTGAACATGCATTTGTTAATCAAATAACAAGCAGTGTTCACTGCTTCAGCCTAGAAACTCTTTGGCACAGCATTTTCAATCAACATCGTCCTTGCCATTTATCTTCTCCAAAACACAATTTTGTTGGGGGTGTTCTGGGAGCAGAAAAATTATGACTAATACCATTTTTAGCACAGAATTCATAGAATTTGGCATTGTCCAACTCAGTGCCGTGAGCAGATCTATTACTCACAACATTATATAGCCCATATTCACTTGAATCTGCTTCATAAAGGATTAAAAACTGGAAAGGTTTCATCCTTGGTCCTGAGAAATAAGGTCCATGTGAATCTGGAATAGTCATCAACAATAAAGAAATGTACTTTTTTCCTCCTCTGCTAGGCATCCTCATAGGCCACACAGATCCATATGAAGAAGATCCAGTGGCCTTGAGGTGCTCACTTCCTTCTTTGGTTTGAATGGGGACCTGACTTGCTTCCCTTTCACACATGCATCACACACTTTGTGATCTTTGAGCTTTGACTTTGGCAACCCACGAACCAGGTCCTTCTTGATTATCTTGTTCAATAGAGAAAAGCTTGCATGTCTCAATCTTTTGTGCCATAGTTGAGCATCATCATAAACGGCACTCAGGCATGTAAGATCACAACCATTCAGAGAATCAAAGTCTACAACATAAATAGTTTTGTACATTTTTGCAATCAGAACCACTCCACCAGTTATAAGATTGGTGATAGTGCAAGACTTTGACAAGAATACCACTTTGTTTCCTTTGTCGCAGATTTGAGAGATACTCAACAGGCTATATTTCAATCCATTCACATAATACACATTTTCAATTAAGTGAGAGAGTGTTTTCCCAATCTTTCAAACTCCTGGAATGTATCCCTTTTTGCCATTTTCAAAGGACACACTCTCACCTTACAGGATCTTGAGTGAAAGGAGACCATCCATTCTTCAAGTCATGTGTTTAGAGCAGCCACTATTCATGTACCATTTTTGACTGCTTCCCTTCACCACTGTCTGCGAAAGAGAATAAGAGATTAAACTTAGGAACTCATACAAGTTTGGGTCCCTTGTAATGAGGGAAAGGGCGAATTAGACTTCTTTTTGTCCATGCAGACATCCCACATTTCTTTTTTAGAGAATCAAGTTCCTTAGCAGCAAATACCTTTTCAACAAAAACTTTGTTTTTCTATTGGGACTGAAAATTTGCTTTACATGAATCTTTGTAATGACTAGTTTCACCATAATGAGTGCAAAGCCATTTATCAGGCACAATGCATACTTGCTATGTGGGTTATAGGGGGCCTTTTCTTTGTGGAACCTGATTCCTTGTCCGCTCCCCCTATTACTTTTATACATGGAAGTAATTGTATAAGAGTAACATCTCCACTTCAGAGATGTATCTAGATCATTTTAACCCTACGTAAATCTTCCTGAAGTTATCTATTTCTTTCAAGTTCAACAACAAGACTCAATTTTATATTTTTGAGTTTATTTTCAAGCTTAAGGTGTGCCTCACTTGCCACTTCCTTTCCTTTAGAGGAGTTCATTCATTTTTCCATTTAATGTTTTAATAGGATATTTTCTATCTTTAATGTTCTATCTCTCCGATTTCCTTAATTAAAGCATTTTTATCATTAATTAGATTGTGGTAAAAATCAATTAAAATATTAGCTAAAGATACCAGCTTCTTTTGATAATAAGACTTCAAATTTCTTTGAACGTTTAAAAAGTTTACCTCATCGTCATCATTATTTTCTTCCTCATAGGATTTGGCCATCTGTGCAAATATGGAGTCATATTCTACAGCTTCACTTTCAACGGCCATCATGGAGGTGTCTCCTTGCTCATCATCACCCTTAGATTCACTAGAGAAATCGCCCCAGGCATCCAGAGTTTGCTTCACAACATTATCAACGACATCTCTTCTCTTTAACTTCCTGTCGGGGAGCGGGTTCCTCTTAACCGTCTTATCAGCATTGTGTTTGTAATTGTCCTGCTTGTGGAGAGGGCAGTCTTTGATGAAATGTTCCGGCTTTACGCACTTGTGACAACAATCATAACCTTTAGTGTTTCTGCTAGATCTGGCCTTCTTAGGAATTCCTCCATTCGACGAACCATTTTCTAAAATCTTTGTTTAAGATAGGCGATGTCAGCATCATCACCACTTGAGTCACTGTTGTCTTCCTTGAGAACTAGCTTCTTCTCCTTTTTAGGTTCTCTTCTTTCATTATCTTTCTTCTTATTCATGTCATAGGTTTTCAGATTCCAAATGAGTTCGTCAACAGTCAACTTTTGCATATCCTTGGCTTCCGTGATAACATTGACTTTTCTCTCCCAGGAACCAACTAACACACTGAGTATTTTTCTGACCAGTTTGTTCCATGGGATAATTTCTCCAAGGGAGTGAATCTCATTTATGATGGAAGTAAAACGAGTATGCATGTCCTGAATAGACTAATCCTCATTCATCTTAAAGAGTTCATACTCAGTAGTAAGCATGTCGATTTTCGACTACTTGACTTGAGTGGTTCCCTCATGTGCAGTTTGGAGAGCCTCCCCAGATCTCCTTGGCAGATTGACAGGCAGAGATATCGTCTGGTCCAATGCCACAAACGAGGATCTTCTTTTCCCTAAAATGTGTCTCGATGGCCTTACGATCAACATCATTATATTCCTTCCTTGTATTTAGAATTGTAACTATTCCCTCACCAATGGTCTTTATAGGGACGAAATGTCCATCACAAATAACATCCAGAGCTCTGAATCTTCTGCCATGATAAAATCATGCATTCTTGTCTTCCACTAGCCATAGTTTTGGCCATTGAATCTTGGTGGTCTGTAGGTTGATTGTCCTTCTTCAAAATTTAGTGCAGCAACCATGTTGACACTTTCTAGGTGTTAGCCTTATAGAAAGAACCTGCTATGATACCAATTGATGTAAACTAAGGGTGCACCAAACTATATAGAGAACCTTATTCTCTATCAATTCCCACAGAATACAACAATAAGTAAATAACACAACGATATTTATGTGAAAAACTCCCAGCTCACGGGATTAAAAACCACGACCTACACTGGTAGGATTTCAACTTCACTAACTTATCAAACTTTATATTACAACCTATTGTAATCTAGGAATTAAAATCTTAATCCCTCACCTACTAACAATAACTATATTGCAAGCCTCTTTGTAATAACTTTATTACAAAGCTAACCACTTGACCAACTCTAGTCAAAACAACCACACATATTACGGTTTAAAAGATGTCATGGGAAATGATCTGAAAAGCTGAGTAGGAATTACAAGTGAATAGCATGAACAAAGACACAACAATACTAAAGGACACACGGTGTAATCAATGCTGGGATCTAGTCCTTTGTTGTTTTGCTGCTTTGTTCTTCAATGCCTCAGAGAGAATGAAGGCGAATACACAATTGAGAGTAATCAATATTTAGGTTATGCAAGTGTGTGTTGAAATCCCATGCCTCGTGTTGATAATATATGAGTGAGGTCGTCAAAGATGATGCAAGGGAGTGTCCGATACACATCATGCTTCAACAGTGTTGTTGTACTATTGCGTGTATAGTACAGTAGCTTTAACATCTATTAGAGTTGACATGTACTATGACCGGAGGAACTGATCTCTATTTGTTTCCTCTGTTGTTCCCTTATCTGGTTTCATTTGAGAAATGAACCAGACATTTGACTCGCTGCTCTGAACACTGAGGAACCAACTGTATCAGGTTCCCTATTTGGTCCTCTCATTGAGTTTGTTAAATCATCAAAACATAAGACACATAACTTATTAGACTTACAAAACTGATATGATGAATAAATACAATATATGTTTGAATTATACATAAAGAGAACTCAATGTACCCAGTAAGTATCTTGACTAACCTCGGTGAAGTAGTTCACAAGGTTTTTTAGTTAAAAGATACTCACTGATATAACATGTGTAGTGGAATAGCAATAGAAATAGTACTAAAACATAACATAGAAGAGTACAAGGACAAATATGTGAAGTATTAAATGATTACTAGAAGAAATTATGGTCAATATTTCTTAATATCACAACCAATCATTTCCTTAAAGCGATGACCATCAAACCACGGTAGTAAATCCAGAGCTTTCATAGTGTGAGAAATGAACTCAAGACATCAAATCAAATGGCACGAAAATACTCTTCGTGGGTTTATCTCATCCTTACCGAGCATACGTGTAACAGTACCAACCAGGTTAAAGAAAGGCCAATTACAGTAACGACAAAGTGGGAGATACATATGTATTAATAACAAACAAGGTAGTGCATATGGTCAATGATAACTGACTAGGTAGAAGGCATAGAAGTAATGACAACAATTAAGATAGAATAACATAAATTTCACTAACTAACATGGTAGAAGGTTTATACAAAAGTGCAACAAATGAGAAACGACATAGATGTAGATATGACAAACAAGAAGGAAAACATGATATTTGCAAGTTAAACAAATTGAAGGCATGGATAATACAACAACAATTGAGGTAGAGGACAAAGACAGAACAACAACAACAACAAGTCACATAGAAAACATAGGTGCAATAGTAACAACTCAAGATAAAGAAATGAATGTATACACAAGGAAATGATATCACAATATAATGCATGTCCCTCGCCCTCGCCTGCACGAAAATACCCTTCGTTCCATGAAAACATGATAATATAAAAGCAATGGCTCGACATCACACTTCGTGCTTGTACTAACATCCTCACATGATAATGTAAATAAAATGGCACGACATCACCCTTCGTGCTTTACACTCTTCCTCTCATGGTAATATAAAACGGCATGGCATCACCCTCCGCATTTTATACTCTTTCTCACTAAGTAGATGTATATCAATAACAAGCAAGGTAGGAAGAATGAATAACATCAAGGAGAACGATTAAGCGAATAGTCCAAATGAACATAAATCACAACTTTCATGCCAATAACAATTCAAAAAACCTCAAGAACCTCATTGTTCAAGTATCTCAACCAATATCAAAAAAATGATCTTCAACTCAAGTATCGAATCCAATATCTCAAGAATAACGGCCGTAGCGATGTATTTGTCATTAAGTATAGTGATGACCGAATTTATCACATTAATAGTTACACAAAAATCCTTCAAATTTTAATCAACTTTTAATAAGCTAAATCATGGTTTCTTGCATTTAACTTCATATTCATATTAATCTAGAAGTCAAGTAAAACATGAGGCAAGAAGGTCACATATTCCAACAAGGCACAAATAATAGTATAATCTACCCCCGAGCATGATTAACCCTGGCACATGCGTATATGCTCGTTACCTCCTATATGCATCATCCCCGCATGTAACAACCAATATCAATAAGTAGGAAAATTTCTCCCAATAAAGTTAGGCAAGACACTTACCTTGAACAAGCCAAATCGATACACTTGAAGCACTATCCTGCTCAAATCGACCACAGAATGACTCGAAACTAGCTAAAAGCAACTCGAAATCACCAAATAATGCCATAGGAAGCAAACCCAAACGATAAAGGTTGAATCTTTAATCAAATACTCCAAGTCAACCAAAACGTCAAACCCAGGCCCGCACCTCAGAACCCGAAAAAATTGACAAAATCCGAAAACTCATTCAATTACGAGTCCAACTATACTAATTTTACTCAATTCTGACTCCGAATCAATGTTCAAGACTAAAAAATTCACTTTAGGAAAGTTTAGATAAAAATCCCCAATTTCTCTTTAAAATTCATAATCCAAATGTCAAAATCGAAGATAGATTCATGAAATATAATCAAAACCGAGTAAGAAACACTTACCCCAATCCATGTGGTAAAAATTGCCTCCACAATCGCCCAAATCCGAGCTCCATAGCTCAAAATATGATAAAATGACCAAGACCTTCAAAATAGAGTGCCTATAAGCTCTGCCCAGTTATGTGCATCGCGATTGCGAAGAAGAAAATAACATTGCCAGCAATTCCCTTCCACGTTTGTAACTATGCCCACGCGAACGTGATGAACACGGATGACAAACCTACGTTATCGCGGATACACTCATGCGAACGCGATAGCGGACACCTACTGCAAATGCGATGGGGCCAACTACACAAAGCTCAGCAAACGGGACCCTGAGCTCACAAACGTGTGGAGTAAAAGAATAAGCTCCAGCTTTCACACCGTGATTGCAACCTCACTCGCGTGATTGCGAAGTCCACCTTAATCACCAGAACAACCAGCAGAACAACACATATGAATGGTCCGAAATCACGTCGGAACTCACTCGAGCCTTTCGAGACCCCGTGCGAGCACACCAACTAGTACTAAAATATGACATGAACCTACTCGAGGCCTCAAATCACACATAACAGCATCAAAACCACGAATCACACACCTCAACTCGAACTAAATGAATTTTTGAACTTTCAAATTCCAAAACTCGTGTCGAACCATGTCAAATCAACTCGGAATCACCTCAAATTTTTCACACAAGTTTCAAATGACATAACTAAGCTATTACAACTCCCAGAACCAAAATACAAACCCGAAATCATCAAAGTCAACTCCCAGTCAAACTTATGAATATTCCAAGCCTTGAAATTGCCAATTTTTTCCAATTAACGGCAAAACCTTCAAGAAACATCTAAATGCAAATCTGGGCATACGCCCAAGTCCAAAATCACCATCCGGACTTGACGGAACCATCAAAACTCCAATCCATGGTTAAATACATAAAAGTCAAACATGGTCAACTCTTCCAACTTAAAGCTTCTAACATGAGATTCATTTTTCCAAATCAATCCTGAATCACCTGAAAATCAAAATCGACAATTCACACAAGTCATAATACATCATATGAAGCTACTCAAGACTTCAAACAGCTGAACGGAATGCAAATACTCAAAACAATCGGTTTGGTCGTCACACAGCACCCCCTCATACACAACTACAAATAAGTAAATAGTTTTATAAATAGGCAAGGGATTAAACTAATTAGGGAACAAATTATAGTAGTTAGGTTAAAGGTTAGCTCGCCTAGTGAATGCAAAAATATAAATGTGCAAGATTTAAGAAAATTTTAAAGAATTCTAGCAGAATTAGTTGATTTAAAAACATGGCAGTTAACATATTACAATCATTAAGAGAAACCTACAAATCTGGACTACAATCGCGTTAATGAAAATAAAAATTTGGTCTGTGAGTTTCAAAATCCTATCTTGTGGATGAGTTCCGCAATCTGCACCTACTATATCTATGGAACCCACTAAACTCATAGGTTCCAAAGTAGTTATACTACCACAAGGATTCTTTTCTTTTCACAAAGATAATAAAGTTATATTGCTAATTTATGCATGATTAGTTATGAATTATACTAGTAATATATATGGTATATAAAGTTACATTGTTAGTTTTACTCTGTGTCTT